CTTCAAAAAACAACCAAAATATAAAAATTACCGTTAACCGACGATGAGAAATCACCAATTCCGTTTAGAAAATTCATTGATACGTGTTGAAGCACCTGATTCATATCAATATCAGACGATGAACCAAAACTCTGTTGAAGAAGTTGCTCAAAAGTTGTCGATGATGAAGCCATTGATTGTAAACTAAACTGAAGTGTTTCGTCTCTGAAACAGTTTCATATTATTTGGCTGTCATCAGTGATTACACACATTCTTCATTTCCATCTAAGCGCTCCACCTGCCCAACTTAACTCTCATCTTCTTCTGCCGTATGAATAATCCTATTCCATGACTTTTTGAAAATTCATACCAACATTGAATCTAAAAGCTAGATCATTCCAATCGATTGATCCTCAAAGTTGTTTCTGCACCAAATACATAACAGAAACCTTGGTTTGTAAGCCAATGATTCCCATCACTGTTGTTGATTTCTTTCACCGTAATGTTTTACAGGCTAACACAGATAACCCTTATTGGTGCCGTTTCGTCTTCTTTAGTTTTCCTTCTTTATTATTATTTTTTTTTTGCAGTTAGATGTTTACTGTTGTCGTCAAAATTTTGATCACCAAAATCGGCGTATCTTCAGTTTAGTTTAGCAGAAAAAAAAAGCTTAAACAACAGTGTAAAATAAAGGGTATTAGCGTGTTAGATAATTCTATGACAAATAGTGATTAAATAGATTTCTTTTTCCACCCTTCTGAGACTTAATTTTAACGAAGTTTCTTGCTTATTGTTGTCGTTATAGAGCAGAAAACCATTAATATTTGGTATTTATAAAGAGAAAAAAGTGTGAACTGTGTGATATTTAGTTTCCACGGCAGAAATATTGAATAAAGTATTTAAGAAAGTCAAAAAAAAGAAGGAAAAAAAAAAACAAACAAGGAGAGTGGTAAACATTTACCGTGATGGTTCCCCTTTACATATTGAGAAATTGTTCATAATAACTATTGTAGCAGAAATCGGCTCAGATTCTTGCGGTAATAATTCTGAATATAAATTATTGTGCAAGCTTAGAACGTGCTTAAGGAATTCGGCTGAACACGAATATCGTTGGCAACAACTAAGACAAAAAAAATGTGGATAATAGTCGAATAATTGTGCCACTTCAGTGCCGTAGTTTACAATTTTCCACTGCAGGATACTTTTTTTTTGAATCAACAACAATTTCTCGATGGGCTCATTACCGACTGGCTGTGTTGCAGCTTTCTCAAAGTCAATCTCACCGCTTTCGTCAACGATTACCACCGAACCAACCTGACGATATGTACCCTCAACCGGCACCTTCAACAATTATTATAAAGTATTAGAAGACAAAAATAAGAAGAAAAAGAAAGCTGCAAATCTATCGAAAAAAAAAAAAACAAACAACAGTTTCTTCATCTCCTCCGCGTTATTACCACAGTCATTTCCTTTCTCTTAATCATATCTATTACTCATTGATAATCAATAGTCGTTAAAAAAGATTATTGTAAAAAAAAAACTGTTTTTCATGCAGTATAGTAAAATATAAAAAACTGAATGTATGCTAAAACTGAAATATTAAAACATTAAACAATTCGTAACAGCCATAAACCATATCAGACAACTTGAACTGTTCTAGAAGCAAGAATAAGAAAGAAATTATAATTGTCGACGGTATAGATTACGATTGGTAAAGAAAAAATTATTTGTCTATTTAATTATAGATTCTGTTTTGCTCAACAACCTCAACAATCCGATTGATCAGCTGGTTCTTGTGTGAACGTAAATTGGTTAGCATTTAGTAAAACTGTATGCAAATAGTTAGTGCCAAAAAACAAAGTCTTTACATTATGAGGTTCCAGTTTTGCCCAAATAAATATTGCTTAAACAAAAAAAAAGAAAAAAGCAAAAAGATCTAGAAGAAGAAAAATATACAAAAATCAACCCAACTATTTCTACCATTAACCATTTGTTTCTATCCTTCTCAATGTTTTTTCTTTCACTTCTTTGTTTTTTTTTTTTCCTTCATACAACTGGTAAATAAAGAATATTGTTGGTGCATAACAGGTATATAAACTGAGTAAAACAAAGCCAAAGAATGCTTGGTTAAGAAGTCTTAAGTAAAATTCAGATAGTTTTGTTCTTTCTCGTTTCTCCTAATTTTTTGCTTTTTAACGATTAGAACCGTTCATTAACCAAAATCAATCGGTTATGGTGCTGCAGCAGTTAAAGAAGTAATGTGTCACCAATCATCTACTTTTACATACCTAATTTTGATAAATATTTAAGATAATGGAGCAAAAATTTTATGCTATTAAAAACAAGCCAGCAAATTTACCTCAGTTTAGTTGATTAATAAGAATAGCCAAATAACAACAACAACAACAAAGTAAAAAAAAAAAACCGAAATAAAATTTGCACAAATTGATTTGAAATTATGGTCGTAAAATAATAAAAATAACAACCCAGAATATATCTATGTTTTATTTCACTTCTTATCGTTAACAATCTGTCAATGTTTAGTTGTTATTTACTATTCCATTTTCTTGTTGTTGCATTTGGTTTCAAAGAAAAAAAACATACATTTTTTTTATTTACTTCTTCAAGCTCTTTCTTTTTTCAGCTTTCATAATGACGGCAAGATGAAACAATTCTAAAATACATGCTTACAAATAGA